TCCGTCCCTCCCTTTTGCGGTTGTTGGGGGGCCCGGAGCCGCCTCTACGCGTACGCAGAGACGCTGTTCAAGGCAGAGAGACCTCCCCTGCCTGAGGGACGAACAGGCTTTAGCCGCCTCACCATCATTATACATCTGCCGAGCCACGCTCACTGAACTCTTACGACTTTACTGTGAATCCGGCCGTTAAGTATTTTGGGGCGAGACAAGGGAAGGATTATGCTTTTCGTTTTGCTTTATATTGTACGTCAGGCGATGAAACTCGGAGCTGCGCAAACAAACCTGCCCAGGTCCCACAAGATGGCGGCGGGCCTGTGGCGGAAAAGGATGTTTCGTCCCGCGCGCAATCTCCCACCGGCACCCTTGGGTGTCGGTTACGTACAAAATGGCTTCCGACTAGCTGGGGCGGGGGGGTGTTAGCAGCGCTCTGGGGAGGAGGGTTTGGCAGCGGAGTGGTCTTGACGTGCGGAAAACGGACTCCACAATCTGTAAGATTGTAAAGTAGTTGTGTTTATTCAGCGCTGGGCAGCACGGCGGATAGTCCCACCAAAGTCATGCGCACCTCCACGTGGCAACTTGTCCTGTTTATATGTAGCAAAGTGTTACATATGCATGACGTTTCCCAATACGCCTATACATATGCATAACCTGTCCCGCTTCGTATTAAAATTAGCCCCAAGAAGTCATTTCCATAAACTCCTCCCCGCTGCGCTTGCTCAGTGCCTCCTTGTGGTGGTCGTCGGGGGTCGTGGGGATGAAGGCTGATGGCGCCTCTTCGTCACCGCTAGTAACCCCTTGTTCTTGCGCAGACTCAGTTGCTTCTTGGCTCTTGCCCAAACTGTAGGGTCGGTGTAAACCAGTTCTTAAGGTAAACTGGTTCTTATCAAAAACTGTCCTTCGTAAGGAGCAACAGATCTTCCTGCGTCAATTAGTTCTCATTCCTTCTAGTCTGGCAACATTGACAAACCATTATCTCTTGCTTCATCCCCTCCTGATTCTTCCCGTCCTTGAATAGGGTTCTAAATTTACTAAGTAACTATACTACTGACTTTAGCAAAACATCCAAACTAGACACTACTGACTTTAGCAAAGCATCAGCAAACTAGACAATAAGGCCTAAATCTTATGCAAGCTGTTTACATCTGGGGGTCTTTTGACCTTTAAGGTATCAGTCTTCAGTTTAGTATGTGCATAGATGTTTATGGGACCGTGCTTTTTATACCACTGCTGGTATGAGGGCAGACAAACCAGCTTTGTATTGGCCCCAGTAGCCGCTCAGTGGTAACAGACCGTTTTTCAGCGAGCAGTTACAGATGGGGTAAGTGTGGGCATGTGTTTTAGCGGGAATTTGTGTAGAAGCAAGCTCTTACTTGGCTCATGTCTTGCTCTATCACTCTTCATTCATAGAGTAATACTGTACAGGTGTGTGAAAATTGTATGCTTCCCATTGTATAATTTTCAGCAAATTTTAAGCAATGCCTTGTCCCTGTGGACTGGGTGTTATAATTCCCTTGGTATAAACTAGCAATTTCCATGAAGCAGTTTACTGTGAGGTGCTAGTATTGTAGCTGGAGCTGCTCTGTTAAAGGCCTAAAATGTAAAATTCTGGACTATTTTATCAGCTGAACTAGACAAAAGCCACCTCCATATGTGATGAAATTATACACATCATGTATATCTCCCAGTCAATGGATTTCAAAGCACTTACAAAACAGTAATTTTTGTGCTGCTAAAAATACAGCAGTGGAAGCACAGTACTCTGGGATAGCATGCTGTTGGGCAGAGTCACACTCTTTGGAACTGCAGGGAAAATGGAGGCAGAAAGTAATCACCTGCACCAGAATATGGTCGAGTACCAAGCAACTGCTCTGTGTTCTGAAAAAATACCTGGATTCCTACTGAAATTGTATGGTCAGTCTCTCAGTATCAGTCATTCAAGGATGTCACAGTATCCCTGCTTCTAAGACATAGCATTGGATCGGTGCTGATTCAGAAGGAAACGAGCTACCTGCTATGAATCAATATGCACACTTTCTCCTTGAATCTATTCCATACAATCATGTAAAGATGTGTACAGGTATTAGATATAATAGAAGAGTTTAAGGAGATGGTATGGCTGCAGGCTTATGAAAGAACAATTTTTTTTTTTTCCAAAAATGGTTGAATGATTTACTAATTTAACGCATCCATTACTTAAGCAACCAGTATACTCTTTTGTTTACTTGCTTCACTTTTCCCTTAATTTACCTAATTTTTATATGCTTATTAAACAGTTTTCACATTTGTATAGGCGGCGTTTATGAGTTGTATGCAAGTCTTTTTGTTTTATTCTTTCCCCTCGTTTCTAAGTTGAAATACTACATTGTCTTCATTGATAGGTTCTCATGTAAACTGAAACTGTAAATCAGTATAAATGTAGAACATAGAGCATACCAGTAAGGTTAGATGTAATTGAGAAGAGATGGTCCTGTATGTTTCAATGTAGAGGGCTTTGGATATTGATCTCTGGCTGGGACATATTTCTTTGATTTGCTTTTATAACAGGTTTTATCTATTTCATTTTGCAGATTCTCCTAGTTAATGTGAAACAAAAGAATTTATGCCTCCTGAAATACTATGAACCTGTCGTTTATGCTATGTATTTCAAAACCAGATTTGGTATGATCAGGGTGAGTGCATTACATTTGTATATATAAATGGTGTCACTAGTTTCATTTGTTATGTGTTGGTGTCACTTTTATTATTATTATTAAAAAAGGCTAAGTCACTAAGGGAAGAGATTATTTTCATGGGTTTTTCTTCTCCATTGGAACGATGGTAAAAGGATTATCTGACTTTCAGATTTCTATTATTTGGCCCACAACTGAGGATAGAGAACATATAGAACATCTGTAAAATCAGATCCCTGTCATATATGTAAAACAGTTTGGGTGAATCCCTGAATGTTTTGATACCCATGATGAAATCTGTAAATTTAATTGGAAGACAAGCATGGGTCCCGAGTATGTTCCTTGTAAAACCCCTTGAAGCAAACACTCCTAACTTCAATTAGCTGTATGCAGAAAATATACTTGCATTGATATAAAAAGTCTATCTAAAAATGCTGATCTGGCAAAGAATTAATTGCAGAATAGAAGCTCATAGTTAGAGAGCTCAACAAAAGATTTTGTAGGAAGTTTTTCAGGAGACATTTCAAGGCAGGTTAACAACACAAACACACAGCTACAGTCTGCTATTTAAACTGCAGCTGCCATGGGAACAGTTATTCTGTTATGCATTGAAATAGGAATTTCAGAGACGTCCAATTTATACGACAACGTAGTCACCATAGTATTGGAATAATTAAGCTGCTTTAACTTCTCCATAACATACAAATTTGGAAGATTATGCTGAATGATGTAAATATTATAGGTAGCATTAACAAAACCAATAGATAAATCGCAAGTATCTTTCCAGGTGAGCAGAAATAGCTCTCTGACTACCGATAGAGTTGGGATTTCCACTTGCATTGCAGAAAATGGAGCATCATCAGTTCTGTTTTTCAGAACTTAAGATACAGACAAAGTTTTCTTCACTGTGGTATTACAATCATATATGTTCCTCACCTGCAGGTGCCACTGCTGTTTGTGACCCTGGGTCTTTGCACTGTAACATATCTGTGCTGGTACAAAGCCTGTTTTAATGTAAGGACAGCCAGTGCTATGGTTACAGTGAAGACAGATTTGGTACTATTATTTTAATACACAGGAAACACTCCATCATACATACAGAAGAGCATGAAAACAAGCTTTCGCAACGAGAAACTAAATGGGACAGCAACTAGTACTTAGGTTTTTTTTAAGGCTTATGCTTTTGGAACAACAGAGTTGGGGCAGGGAGGAGCAGCCAGTCAGCGCACAAGTACTGCATACAAATTAAAATTACGAGGAGCAGCTGAAGTGAGAAGCACATATCTTAATTACAAGATTCACCAATACTGCATGTAATGCTAGCTGTGTTAATTGTTTTCCCGAACGACCATCTACAATTCAGTTATATTAATAAGTTTAGGCTTGGACCCAGATAGAAAACAAACAGTGAATACCAGCCTTTGAAAATGTATACTCTGGGTGGGACAGTCTAAGGAACAACATGGACATATTTTGTGCAATAGACATTACACAGTGGATTCTTGTTTTGTTTTGTTTTTTTTTCAGGGAACAGTGCAACTGGATAGGGATGCTTGAGAAAGAATTAGGCAAGAAAAGTTTAGTAGAACAAATGGTTGCCCTGTGAACAGTGCCTTGAGCAATGTCATACTGAGATGACAAACTCCACTGAAGAGCGCAGCTGCACTCCCACAAAAACAGATGTTTACTGCTCTAAAAATAAAGCTGTGTTACATCACTCAAAGATTGTGTGCTAATATAGATATTAAAAAAAAAATCTTTTAGCTGTTTTGGTAGGAACTTCAGGTTTTTTTTAAACCTGCAATTTGTGACATGATTACTTAAACTTTCCAGTTTCTTCACCATGTAAGTACATTATGTAATTGTCTAGTGTCATTTAAGTTTCTCGTTTGTCTAATTTTGCTTTTCTGTTTAGTGAGACAGATATCCTGTTGTTTGGATTGAAAAATGAGATAGTATACCCTCCTTAGCTTATGTTACTAATGGCATAAGAAAATTTATAATAGGATATTCAGCCAATTCTAATTCCTAGCATTGCAGAGGACATATACTGCCAACAGGCCCTTTTCTATTACAGTTCTCACTTCAGGCATTCTTAAAGCACTCCAGAAGCTGTTAGATAATTTAAGGAAAAAATAGGAAATTTTAAAAAAATTATTAAGATTATTAAGGTGTATAAATAAATAAACAAACAAGCCTGTGCCACTACAGATTTACAATGTAATACACCAGGACAAGGAAAAAAAGCAATTGAACCTTCTCTTTTTTTTCACATTACACTCAAGTATATTGGAAGTCATATTAAGAGAGTTATTGCTGAGTGAAACATTCTACTTTGCTTAATAAACAATGTGCTTAATGGCAGCAATGTAATTTTTAATTTCAGGATATTACACAGCAGATTATTTTGGTACATACTATTTGCCAAATTAATTAACTCTTCAATAGGATTAAGTATAAGCTTTGGTATTTTCATATACTTTGAGACAGTTCTGGGTACTCTCTAAAGCTTTAAGGTAATAGTTCTTTTTATTTAGAGACTTAAGAGTGAATAGTAACAAATTATACTTTTAAGAAGTGACAAGTCATTCATTACTACTTATCAGCAAATAATTATTATTAAACCTGTAATTAATGCAGTACAATTTTTCTCCTAAAAAAGCAACACACTTTCTCAATTTCATTAATAGAATGTTGGCAGGGCTTGAAAGAGCTGGGCCGATAGTTTCCTCTGTTCTTTAAAGGATGGTACAGCAAACCCAAGAGCGTATTTATGTCTTGTTTTTTTTCCCCCCAGACTGAAGTCAGGTAAATTGCTCTGATTATGTTTTTTGATCCTTCCACAAAAGTATAACAAAATCAAAGAAACATGCTGATTGCCTGTGATAGACTTTAATATGCATATTATAAATGCAGAGAGCACAGCAGGCTTATGTATGTTTCAGCTTAGTGATGAGTATTAAGTTGTCATATTTAATCTTCAGTGATGGCCTCCGTTCTTCTTTGGAGGAAACAGTGTATATTCAATGCCAAGAGCTATGACGAAAGCTGCAAATCCCCACTTGAGTCCCCTAGTAAAGACTTCTGTTAAGGTGACAGGTTTTGCAAAGCCACCCATATATCTCCAGGCTTCATTACTAGAAGAAAAATTAAACCAAAAGAATAAAACAAGATCAATGGAGCCACTGTGATAAACATTAACAGAGTATCTTTGTTCAGAAAAAAAGACGAAGGTATTTCAACTAGAGATAAATGATAAAAATGTTATGGTCTCAATGTAAGTATCATTTAAGTAACAAGGAGTTGCCACATGTAAAGTTCATACTAATTGTAACCCTTTATGCATATAATTTGAGATACAAGTAACACCAGCAAACAACACAATTCTAGAATCACCTCCCCAAACTTGTTATGTAGTTGTTGTCTTCTGTTTACTCTTTGGAACAAAATCAGAACCCACTAGCACATGCATGGAATGGAGCAAATACAAAGGTTAGACAGTATCTAGCCTAGTTAAAATCTTAAAAGGGAAAGTTTTTCAGCCTAGAAAGCTCATCCCAGTATGGAGGCACTTTCTGTTTTACAATACGATGTTTAACTATATTAAGGTAGTAATATTTTAGTAGGGCCAGCAGTGACAAGACAAGGGGTAATGGTTTTAAACTAAACCAGGGTAGGTTTAGACTAGATATAAGGAAGAAGTTCTTTACAATGAGGGTGGTGAAACACTGGAACAGGTTGCCCAGAGAGGTAGTGGAGGCCCCATCCCTGGAAACATTCAAGGCCAGGTTGGATGGGGCTCTGAGCAGCCTGATCTAGTTAGCGGTGTCCCTGCTCCTGCGGGGGGGTTGGACTGGATGACCTCTAGGAGTCCCTTCCAACCCAAAACATTCTATGATTCTATGATTCTATGATTCGGTCAGAAAAGCTTACTAGAATTGAAAAAATTGTGTTTAGCTAAAAAGCTACAGAATATTTACAAACTTCATACTGCCCTGTCTTACTGGTTTTGACCTATGTTGTTACTGAAACTTCTACTCACTGCTATAACTGATTACAAGTATTTATGTGTAGCACAACCAATGTAATCTATAGAAGAGACAAACTGTGTCCACCTTTAGAGACGCAAAGTCCTTAAGAAAAGGAAAAAAACATTTGCACAGAGACAAGCAATAAGATTAGAACCATAATTTCAGGAGAAGATAACAGTTTTTTTAAACAAGGGGGTCAAGTATTTATGTTCATAGACAATCCCTTTGTTCAGATGGTCTCTGTGGCTTGGGGTGAAGGAATATGGGCATGGTAGAGTATCTTCTAGATGACAGCATAAGATACTAATTGATAAAGACTTAGGTTTCCAAACAGGACATCTTTCACACAGCTTATTCTGTATTGAGTATGTACATGAATGTGCATTTGCTACAAAAGTGGAAAACTGATACCCTATTAAGAGGAACTTAACATATGAAAGAGGGGAGCCCCAGAGAGGGTTACTTTTTCAAGACTTGTAGTGCAAGGTATTAATGCAATCTTTTTGCAGATTACTGAAGTAAATAACTTGCTACTTTAATTTCTCCTTTGTTAAGGAAGATTGGCATGATACATGTAGTTGTCCTATGGAACTGAAACATTACCTTACATAAAATTGGAAAAGTTCAGGAGTAGTCATGTCATACTTCAACAGTTTGACTTTGTTCCTTACATAACTCCTCACATAACTGGCTCAATCCCCTTCTTGTACCAGAGAAACATAATTCTTTTTTTCTAGGAAGGGCAACAAATATTACACAAGCTCCTTTCCAGTTTGCTGTTTTGCAGCACTTCCTGAACAGTTGGATGTGTATGCACTAAAAGTCAGGTTAATGTACACTAAATTTATTTATGATATTAAGGTGTGTCCATTTTTTATGGGAATAAGCCTATTGCTTGCTAAAAACAATTTTGTCTGAAGCAAAGGGGGAAAAAAAAAAAAGCTAACACTGCTTGCACTACACAGAAAAAGGCAATGTAAATGTGACACAGGCCTGGAAAGTTCACTGGTAACCGATAATCCTAAGGACTCATAGCTGAAGTGATTCTTATCATCATCAAAACTATGTTTTACTCTATGCTTACAACCTTAAACTGTTTCAAAGGAAGGAAGAAAGTCTCTCAATCCCAAAACCCTCCAGAGGTGACAGCACATAACTTTTTAACAGATTACCTGTTTGCTCTTACATTTTCCTTGTAGTGAATTGAAGTAAAAACATTGCTATGAAGGCTCCTGGAATAGTTTGCTCATGCAGCTTTTCCCTTGCAGAAGAATCAAGACTACACAGCACATTTAGCATTTTTATTCCTGTCCTGGTTTCGGCTGGGATAGAGCTAATTTTCTTCATAGTAGCTAGCACAGTGCTGTGTTTTGGATTTAGTACCAGAAGAATGTTGATAACACACTGATGTTTTCAGCTGTTGCCAAGTAGTGCTCAGACTACTCAAGGACTTTTTGAGCTTCTCCTGCTTGCCCAGGTGCATAACAAGCTGGGAGTACAGCACAGCTAGCACAGCTAACCCAAACTGACCAAAGAGCTATTCCATACCATATAACGTCATGCGTGGGGGGGGGCGGTTAGTTCGGTCGGTCGGTCGCGGGGAGACCTTTATCTCAGCCCTCGGCTCTAACCTTTTATTTTCTTCCCGATTCTCTCCCCCATCCCACTGAGGGAGGGGGGGGAGTGAGCGAGCGGCTGTGTGGTGCTGAGTTGCCAGCCGGGTTAAACCACGACAATTCCCCAACATTAAAGAGTATTTGAGCAAAATATTACATAATTCATGACATGGGAGAAATATATTAAGCCCTGTTTTAACAGCTGCCTAAATGATCCAGAATTGCTCTAGCTAAAAAAAGAAGAGGTATGCATTATAGAGTGGGGCAACTTGAGGTAAAAATCTGATCTTCCATTCTGTCACTCACTGCTTAGTAAAATGAAACGCACAGCTGAATCACATTCCACATTGTACACCAGTATAGCTCTTCTTTTCAAATAAAGGCCTCCGGTTGTACATGAGGAATGCTATTCCTACTCAGAATGTCAACGTAAGTTCCATCAACTTCAGCAAGATCTGAGCACACAATCTCTGCTGAAAAGGGATAGGCTTACTCACATATGCAAGACCTAATATTACGCAAGTGTTTTGCTGGATGAGGTATTGGTCATTGTGCCTGATCTGTATCATCATGAAACATCACAAAGTGCAAGGGTGCCTTGCAAAATGTGGAGACTGGTCAAGGTGATGCAAGGTGCAACCTCCACGCAAAAAAGTAAACAAAGATTTAACTGAAATTCTGACTAATATATTCTAGACGCATTTTCACTGTTTTTACTAAGGAACAATCTGCAACAACAAGGTCCAGTTGATGCTACAAGATGACATATCAAGATTATTTTTTAAGCTCTTGCACTTACCGAGCCCACGGATCCCTAAGACCCCGTTTAGCTAGCCTTTCCTGGACCTTCTCTAGTGGAGTACCCTCTATCTTCCATTGCCTGTAGTCGGGGAGTTCCATTTTGCCATGGCCATGGCCATGTTCATTTCCATGCCCCATACCTACAAGAAAAGATAGGAGTTTTTTGTTTCTCAGAGAGTATCAGTACACTGTAGAACAAAGAGACTTTATGCTGCGTTTCAGAAGTTGGTGATTAAACACAGTAAGGCAAACTGTGCAGAGGTAAGTGTTACTGCATTGTACGTCACCACCACCATTACATTCATGAAGCAGTTATGTAAATTTTATGTGCCAGAAAAACAATTGTTTCCAACATTCATAAATGCCCTTTAGCGACACCAGGGCCCACCAACTTGCAAGCTTCCCAGAGTACATCGAAAGGTCAGAGTTCAGTTTGAAATTTCTAATTTAGGTATGGCAGAGCTATGATCATCAAGCTCTACAGAAAGACATGACTTGGCTCCTCCACTCCTTTTAAGTTGCCTCCAATTCAGTCAAATATAACTGCGGCAATAAACAGGTACAGGATAAATGAATGGACTAGCAGGTGCACCTTACTAGTCATGTCACGAGGCTGGCAAATACACGCTTTGAAAGAACTATGAAAATATTAAGGTTCTCCCTAAAAACAGTGATCAAGGCAGACGGGAAGGTGAACATCTTCAGTGAGTCATGAAGGACTGGAAGAAAATAACAATGGCTTTGAAGTCTTCATTTTCACAAAGCATCTGAAACTTCTTTGAGCCAGGATTTCCCCTTTTAACACATATCTACTAGCAAAGAACAGACTGAACATCCTTAATTTTTAGGAGAATTGACTGTGGCACAATGGTGCCAAGAACACAGCTTCAAAACCTGTAACTCTTGCAGACCCCAAGCCGTGGAGGCAAGCAAACAGGATTCTCTTGCAGAAGGAAACCTGAAGAAGAGTTCTAATGCTGTCATTACCCGAAAAGCTCCCCCAGAATTAAACCCCTGTCTACACCCTTGTCATAAAACCCCAAGACCTCTCTCCTATCCATACTTACCTCTCTACAAGAAAGGGGTTTAAGCGTAGGCGCACGCTAGCGCCCACACGCCGCGGACAGCGGGCTGCACTGCAGCACCAGCCGGGCACTCTCTTGCAGCAAAACCGGCTAAAGCAGGGCTGAAAGGCCGCCCCGAGATGGGGCAGGGAGGCCCCGCTCAGCGCCAGC